TGTTCCGAGGGTCCGGGGACATGCTCGGGGTGGCCTACGAAGCCCCCACGGTGGCCACGGGCTATGGAGCCTTCCTGGCTCAGGTGAGCGCGCGCGGGCGGCGGCGCCGGAGCTGCCTTGGCGCCGGGTCTCGGGACCGACCTGGGGGTTTTTCTGTTCGCAGCCGCTGATGAGAGAAGCCCTGGAGAAGAAACCCGTCCTGACGAAGGAGGAGGCCCGCGACCTCATCGAGCGGTGCATGAAAATCCTGTATTACCGGGATGCCCGATCGTTCAACAGAGTAAGTGCCCCGGTCCCAGAAAACCCCGCCGTGTCCTCGAGTTGTGGGTGCAGAGCGTGTAGGGGTTAGGGAAGCTGCCCGCAGAGCGAGACCGGCCCCATCTCCGGAGCCCCTTGGGAGCAGTGGGAATCCTCCAAGGGGTTTTGCCTTTGCCTGGCCGCTTGATGCTTTTTCCTGCGTCTGATGGTGCTTTTCCCCTGGCCATGGTGGCATCAGAGACTGCAGTCTGCTCATTTTCAAGTTGTTTCTGTCAGCTGCTGGTGTTAACTGTGGCTCGACTTGCCACCAAGAGCAGCACCGAAGGCAAAGCCGCGTTAAAGCCGACGTGCCTGGAGGAGCAGTCCTTGTTACTGACTAATTAAAGCTCTCGCAGGGGGGAGAGGACCCGTCTTACAGTGACGTATGGGATTTACTGCAAACTCGAAATTCTTCTTTCCCTTAGTATGAACTCGCTATTGCAACCGAGAAAGGAGTGGAAGTGGAAGGACCTCTGACGCTGGAAGCCAACTGGGACATAGCCCATCTCGTCAGGTACCGCTGCCTCCGGAAGCTGCTCCGGGCTCTCGAGCAATCCGCAGTGCCCTCCCCTGTGGACCACAGCCAGGCCGTAGAATGTCCTGACCGTGTGAAATGTCTTCTTGCAGCGGCTTTGAGTGATCTCCAGAGAGCTGCTCCGGCCTGGTCTGTTCCTGTGATCACCCTTTGTGGATGCTGTAAATCACCTCTTCCTCGTGAGGCTCTGATTTGCTACAGAAGTTGAATAAACTTGTTAAGACAAGTGTGTGCGCTCGTGTTGATGATTAGAAAGTAGCTGGTAGCTCCAGGGGTATTTACTGCAGGAGGAGTCTCTGCTTGGAGCAGGGAAAAGCCAGAGCACAAGAATTATTGGGAGCCACCAGGGTGATGTCTGCAGAACAACCCCCGCTCCCAAAAAGTTGGGAGCAGCTGCAAGTCCTGGAGAGAGAAACAGCCAAAGCAGCTGCTCCTGTTGTCCCGACGGGGGTTCTGGTAGGAACTGTCCTTCCCTCAGGGTGTGAATGCGCTGCCGTCCCCTGCAGCCCAGATACAGGCAGCTTTATCCAAAGGGGAAGGTAAGTGGAAAGGTGAAGATGGGCTGAGGGTGCCCCATTGCTGCCTCTAACTCGTACCCGTTATTTGTGTTTCTCCCTTTTAGCTGTGGTTTCTTAACTGCAATCTCATTAACTAAAGGATTATTAGGAGCAGGACAACTGAAGAGCAGTAGGTGCCGTGTTTGCCCGTGGGGCTGCAGAGCTCCTGCTTCCCGCAGTCCCGTTCCCGCGTTGCCGTCGGCTGGGGCCGGAGCAGCCGCGCGTCAACCCCGGCCGCCCGCGCTCGCCCGAGTTGCTGCTCCGGACCTGTAAAAGCCGCCGGCGTCCCTGAAAGCCACCTGCAGGGAGAAGGAAAAGGGACCCTGAAGGAGGGTCGAGGGAGGGAGCGTTGCTATCGGTACAAACCCAGCGTCCAGCCAGGTCCTCGGGGACAAACTGAGCTCTGACTGAAGGGCCACGGGCTGAAGCTGCAACGGGGGCGGCTGCAGTTGCCTTGGGGTTTCCCGTAGTCCCTAACGGGAGCATAAGGGAGAGCTCCGGATCTGGATCTCTGCTGTTCTCTGCTCAAACAACTCACACAAGCAGGGAGAGAAGCTGGGCTCCCTTTAACCCCCTGGCCCCCAGCCCAGGTAGCGCTGGAAGAAAAGAGGAAATAAAGGATTTTTTATTGTGTCGAAGGGTGGCTGAACGGGACATTCCTTAGCATTATGATGGTGGTATAAAATGAAACTATTGTCTCACCTCCTACTTGAGATAATAAACTTTAATGCATTAAGCTCTCAATTGAGAGTGGGAAAGACCCCTAATAAAGATAAAATGCATTAAAATATTTATGCACTAGATTAAAAGAAATCTGAAAACATAATTAATCTCAGGCTGGAGACAGGTTATTCCCTTTAGCCTACTCTGCAGTAATAAAGGACAAGCAGGGGTTGCAAAAATGTAACTGGGGCGCAGAATTGTACCCTAAAGGGTAGTGACATGGGAACAATTTGCTTTCTGAGCCCTGGCTGGGCATCTTCAGGAGCTGCCAAACAACCCCAGGTCCCCTCAGCCCAGACAGCAGAATCCAGGCTGCGATGCTGCCTCTGCCTCTTGGATTACACACCGAAAGAATCATAGAATCATGGAATGCTGAAGGTTGGAAGGGAGCTCTAGGGATCATCCAGTGCAGCCCCCTGCACACGCAGGGTCACCTAGAGCACGTGGCACAGGGCTGCGGCCAAGTGGGTTTGAAGATCTGCAGAGAAGGAGACTCCACACCCTCTCTGGGCAGCCTGTTCCAGGGCTCTGGCCTCCTCACTGGGACGGGATTTTTCCTGAAGTTCCTGTGGAACTTTTGGTGCTTCCGTTTGGGGCCGTTTCCTCTAGTTGCGTCGGTGGCCACCAGTGCAAAGAGGCGGCCCCATCCTCCTCATGGCCTCCCTTGAGGTACTTCTAGACACTGCTCAGGTCCCCTCTCAGCCTTCTCTTCTCCAGCTGAACAGGCCCAGCTCCCTCAGCCTCTCCTCACAGGGCAGATGTTCCAGGCCCCTCCTCATCCTCGGCGCCCTGCGCTGGCCTCTCTCCAGCAGCTCCACATCCCTCTTGTCCTGTGGAGCCCAGAACTGGACACAATCCTGCAGATGTGGCCTCAGCAGGGCTGAGCAGAGGGGCAGGATCCCCTCCCTGGACCTGCTGCAGACGCTCTCCTTAACGCAGCCCAGGATCCCATTGGCCTTCCTGGCCACGAGGGCACCTGCTAAAGCCAGCACGAGCCTCCAAGCGCTCTTCAGAATAAACACACATATTTAGAAATCCATTTCCCTGGTTTTATTAAATGTTCCACTTCTGTACATTTTTAAGATGAACCATTTACAGGTCTGCACATGCTGCCTCCTGCTTTCCTTGGGTACGAGGGAAGGTTTGCAAAACCTCTGCGGAAACAGAAAGGTGCAGGTGCTTCCAATCTCTGTATGTCAAAACGCTTTCTGTCTATACCATAATACATACAGTTAAAAAACCCTCAAACATGCAAATTGTAGAAAAATTTAAGCTGGCAGTGAAAAATAAAAAGAAATGTCTTCTTTTTTTTGTGCACATCACAGTTTGTTTCATTAAATCAGCTAATTCTAAGGAACAAGTTTCTGCTGTCACTGGCTGAAGCAGGTTTACGAGGAGGTAACGGGTTCAATGGGCCCAAGGGTTTTGGCTCCCCTCTGGGGCCCGGGAAGAGCAGGAGGGACTTGGACTTTCCGCTTCCAGGGGGAGCTTTGGAGCAAGGCGGGAGCAGACGGGATCCAGCCGGGGGACGGGAGCAGCGCGTGGGGCTGCCCCGTCTCGAGCTGCGGATCCAGGCCAAGCCCGGGCCAAACCCAGGCCAAGCCCAGGGGCTCCCACGAGGGCTGGCCCTGAACAGGCCAAAAATCCTCCCCCTTGGTGTTTTTTGTCCCCCTGTCCAAACTCACAAGCAAAATAATTACTCATTAAAAAAAAAAAAAGAAACAGAAAAAAAAAGCAATGGCCAATTATAGAAGGTTCACACATTAAGCAGTAATTTGTATCTAAATTTACCACAGAAACCAAAATCCCTGGGTCAAGTGTTTAAAAAAAAATAACAATTACCTGTGTTAAGACAACCAAAGAGATTTATATACTGGTTCATTAGCTACATATTTTTTTTTCCTTTCTGTAGAAATGGTCACATTGACAATGTATAATTCAAAACATTTCTGCACAATAAAAACAGAAAACTATGATACAGTGAGGTAAAGAAAACGCAAAAATATTCACCCACAATATATTTTCAGAAAATACCAACACAGTGATTTCTTTTAAAAAAGCACAAAACTTATAAATGAACAGCATAAATGGCTATTTATCTGAGTGATCGCCTACGAATTTCCTAAACCCACAAATCCACAGGGAAGTGTAATGGTCTCATCCAACATTTATTTAAAAAATAACCCTTTCCGGATCCCGAATTGCAGGTCAGTGCTCAGATTTCCATCAGATCCAAGTCGGCGTCTTCGAAGCCGTAGAAGGACTCAGTCTCGCTCTCCCCTTCGAAGAGCTGCTGCAGGACGTCGGGGTCGGCGGGCGGCTCGGCCGGGCTGCGGCCCCGCGGCGCCGCCGGCTCCTCGCTCAGCTTCAGCTGCTCCTCCAGGGAGGCCACCAGCTCCTCCTGCATGTCCGCGTTGCGCGCGGGCGAGTTGGCCGTGCCGTCCGGCCCGGGCAGCACGCTGGCCACCAGGAAGGACTGCTGCACCAGCTCCGGGCACTCACCAATGACCTCCAGCACCTCGGCCAGCCAGCACAGGACCAGCTGCAGGAGGATGTCCGAGTCGCACGTGGAGTCCGCCATCTCCTTGGCTTGCTCTTTCCACTTTTTGTGCAAGAAGTTTTTCACAGTCCGCTTTATACAAACATCCAGGGGTTGGATTTTGGAGCTGCAGCCGGCGGGGACCACGGCTGGCAGCGTGCTGGCCGCGCTCAGCAAAGCCAGAACCTCCTCCGAGAGGTGCGTTCGGTGGCAATCCAGCACTAACATGCCCTTGCTGTTCTGACACTCCGTGTGCTTCTGCCACACGCGGGACGACCACAGCTCCATGATTTCGTCGTCGCTGTAGCCGCTTTCCTTGGCTTCCAACACGATGGATTCCGGCACGTTGGCAGGCTGCTGCACGCGGCCCCTGTAGAAGACGAGCGTGGGGAGGACGCTGCCGTCGGCGAGGATGGTGAGCACCACGTCGCACCAGGGCTCGCCCGTGCCCACCGTCTGCAGCGCGTTCTCCTTGCGGTCGTCGCTGCACAGCACCTCCACGTCCAGGAAGAGGGAGATCTCGTCGATGGCCGCGATCATGGAGAGGGGCAGGTCCTGGGTGTGGATCTGCCGCTGCACGAACTCGATGAAGCAGCCGGCGCTCTCCTCGACGCCCTTGGGCAGCGGGTGCGCCACGGCGCGGCGCGCGTGCGTGCTCAGGTGGTGCCGCAGCATGAACCTCACCGCCCACTCGTAGGAGATCTTGAAGCCGCCGTCGAGGGAGCGCCCGATCTTGGTCGCTTTCTGGAACAGAGTCTCCTCGTTCACAGGCAGCCGCTGCCCCCCCCTAGGGAGCACCCCCCCCGCCAGC